TTTAGGGGTTTAGGGTTGAGGCATAGGACGCGCTTCCAGTAGCTCCTACTTGGTCCAAAAGGCTTTCAGCCCGAGACTTTCACTCATTTCTAGCAGCCTCTTCTGCCGGGGTCGTCTCAATGATAGCCCTTGTTTTAGTACCCTCTGCATTGTACTTCAAGGGTCCAAGGACCCAAATAATAGGGTTGTAGGGCACAATTACTATAAGATTAGCGGTATTTGGGCCCTAAATTGGGGCCTTGGACTCTTAGACCTATATGGGGTCCTCAAGTGCCAGGAGAGCTACATTGGGAGCCCCTAAAAAAGACTGGGTGGCCTTGGGGGCTGTCTGGGAGTAGATAGAGTGTGGCTTTAGGGCTTACTCAGAGGGTCCAAGTACCCAATAATTAAGGACTTGGGTTATGGGTACTAGTCATTATAGCATTGGTTTTGGGCAAGTATATGATTGTTAGGCACTTGGACCCTTAGGGTTAGTGGGGTTCTTGAAATGCTGCAGCCCAGACTTAGACAAAACAAGAAGCCGCCCTGTGTCTGGTTCTTTTTTGCCCATGCGCCCTGTCAACTGCTCGCGAATCCCAAGCCCTGCGCTACAATCCTGCAAACACCAGTCCTCAACTCCAAACCCTAAACCTTGAAACCCTAAGCCCTGAAACCCTAAACCCTGAAACCCTAAACCCTTAAATTCTGAACCCAACCCTTGCTTCCCCACCCTTGTCCATCCAACCCTAAATAAACCTGTGAACAGCCTTCAAACAAGGGTTCCTGGGTTGTACCCTTAAGTTCGTACCCTGGAAGGTTTCCCCAACATAACCTTAGTATAGCCTTTGTAAGAGCTAATGTAGTCCAGGGGTACAACCCTAAACCCTAAATCCTAACCCCTGAACCCTAAACCCCAAATTCTAACCCCCAAACCCTAAAGGATTATAGGCCCCCTCAAGTAGATAGAATATGGGGTATATGGGGATCTTATTATAATATACCCAAAATCATATTCTATCTTCTTGAGGGGTACTATACAAGCCTGAGAGCCTTGATTCGAACTTCTGAGCCTTGCAGTCCGAGCGCCTGGTAGATTCCACGACGGCACCGAAGAAAGCCGGGGCTTGCCTTTCAAAAAATTGGTCCGTTTAGTAGGGTTTAGGGTTCTGTGGGGTTTGGGGTTAGGGTTTAGGGGTTTAGAGTTTAGGGTTTAGGGTTTGGGGTTTACGGTTTAGGGCCTGCAGCAATCTACACCCAGAGGGTCCAAGTACCCAGTAAACAGGTCCATTTAAAAGGATATACAGGGGTCTATCGGGGTATATCGGGATACGTATATAGGGCTAATTCGGGAAATATAGAGCTTAGGGTTCGTGGTTAAGGGTTTTACTTTCCAAGTACCCAACAACTGGGTAGCTGGGATTTGATCAATAGTAAATAGTAGTCATATTATAGGTACTAGGACCCTTTGGACAGTTTTTCCGACTTGGGGCTCATGCAGGACTGAGGATGCAAGATTGAGGATTTAGGATTTACGGTTTAGGATGTAGGGTTTAGGAATTTCAGCTTTCGGGGGTTGTTCCGAGGGTTTGTTTCAACGTTTCAACCAGGGACCCTCGAGAAAACACTTACTGAAAGGGATGTCCTAACTGAAAAGGGAACCCACCTTATGGCCATGTTGGGTGACAAATATTTTGAATAACTACCATGTATGCAGACAGTATATGATGTGAGCCCAACGTATGCAGATAGGAAGCTTTTCAGGTTCAAAGTACATCCCATGTACTTCGAGCTTTCAGATAATTGACATGTAAGGCTTATAATGACCTCAGAGCATGGTTTCAGAGGTTGGTTGTAAGGTCTAGGATGTATGGTCGAGTGTTTGGGCATTTTTGCCGTTTAGACGCTTGGGTGTGAGCTTACGGGTTTTGAAGATTAAAGCCTGGAATCTAGGAATCTGGCTCTAGGTTTGTTTCTATTCAGCGATTTGGGTCGCCAATTTTTGCGTTGAGAGTCTTTCCCAAAACCTAGGCCCTAAACCCTAAACCTGGACCCTAAACCCTCGAATCGCTTTCTCAAGAAGCATATCTTGATGATATGCCATCTTGGTGCATGATGCGATCCTGGACGAGACCCTCTAAGACCTCAACCCTACTTGGAGGTTTAGGGTCTAGGGGTTCCAATGTACACTTATATAACCCCTATAGGCAGGAATGGAAATGGGACCGACTATAACATTTAGGGTTTAGGGTTTGGTAACCATAATGTTAACCCCTATGAGGCATTGGATATCCCAAGTTAACCCACTTACTAAGGCCCCCTGAACCTCCAAGTAACCTGCCTTTGTATACATGAATGTTCTGCCATCAACATCAGATGTCCAAAAGCCGCCCCAAGATGCCAACCCACGTGGTTTAGGGTTTCGAGATGTGGTTTTCTTCTTGATTTGGCTTACGTAGGGATCACTAGCATACATCAAGGCTAATAAAGGGGAAGCCTAGGGGGTTATAAAGGCGAAGCAAGTAGGGGAACCCCTGAGAATCGTTTTTTTGCAAACTTGGCGGTGGTGCTTGGGCCATTAGGGCTTAAGTAATCCTGCAGCAGTTCACAAAGCATGACTTGCAAGAGCGCATGCTGTTGATGGATGAAATCTTGCACCACCTTATGTAGCCTAAGCCCCAATATAGTTGCAGTATTTGAGGGGTAGTAAGTCCTGTAAGATTTCCTCCATCCTCAGTATGATTCTTTTTTGGGGGACTGACTTTTCACAGCTGTTACCTCGAAGCATTGGGCCCTCCAACAATGTACTGGTGCTTAACTGAGAGGGTCCGAGTACCCCAATAGTTCGGTACCTGGGTTCTGGGTAGAACTAGCTATAGTACATGTTTTGCGCAAGTATATGATTACTGGGTACTGGAGACTGAGGCAAGTAAAGCAATCCCTGTAAAAATTATTTGCCTTCTCTGTTTAACTCTTCCTGACACACAAGGCAGACAAGACTGCTCCCAATGCCCTGACAATTTGCATCTATGCGTATTATTCCTGAGCCGTGCACAACGCCGAATCGTTCGGTCAGTTTAAAGTAAATTTCTGTAGCTGTAGCTATCTGTTTGTTTTTTTGCCTTATTTTTTCTTTGGCAAACCTCCGAAACTGTAAGCAGCGCAACCTTTGTGTGTGTGTGAGAGAGAGAGAGAGAGAGAGAGCATGAGCGAGCAAAACCCTAAACGCTAAACCCTGAACACCCTAAAGCCTACACAGTAAACTGTAGCTAGAGAGAGCAAGTACGCAGGCCGCAAAACGGCCGCACTCTGAAGCCATGACGCATGAGGCTCCACATTAGGGATTCTGTATACTTTTTAGGGTGTGGGATTCCTTAAACAATCCTTATATCTATGTAAAAGGAATCCTAGGGTAATGGTTTAGGGTTTAGGGATTACATTTATGGGAAAAGGATCCTAAGGTAATGTACTTGAAGTCCTGAGGCTCGTACACCGGGTTCACGCTTGACATCCTTGGCACTTGTTGGGGTATGAGTTCCTGCATATGATTGCGAAAGTATCCTTTATCTTTGGTAGGGTGCTCAGACTGGGAGAATAACGGCGGTCATGACAAAATTCAAATCTGTGAAGGTTGTGCTGGCGGCTGTTGCAAGGTAGGGTCTTCAGTTGGCAAGGTTCGGAACCCTGAATCCTAAGCCCTAATCCCTAGCAGGCCCGAAATTCTACAACCCTCCAAAGCCACACGCTAAGCAGCTGAAAACCTCCACGAGTCCAAGACCTCAAGCAGCACCTTTTCATAGGCTTCCTTGCTATTTCCCTGAGTAGAACGTGATGGGTCTATTTCTTGCAAGTCTGTTTAGTTCTATAGAGGACGAGAGAAGCACACTTCAGACTACCCGGAGTTTCCCTAAACCCTAAACCCCATGGGTTCAAGCCTCTACATTACCTGATCATGAAAATGACCATGCACTCCGGGAGTTTCTACACACGAGAGCAGCTTCTGAAACCCTCAGGGTTTAGGGTTTAGGGCTTCCGCTCTTTTTCGGGCTTCTGAACCCTCCATCACAGCATTCCGCCACTCCGCAGGATGTTGTTGCTTTGGACCGCCTTACATATGCTGCCCTCAACCCTACACCATAAAGCCTTAGCCTGTACGGTGGAGCACCTGCCCTCCTTTTGGGGTTTAGGGTTTAGGGTTTAGGGAAACACTGCATCGATAGCCTGATAGCGCCTGGCACGTGCAGGCAGAGCAACTGGTGGATACCACAACAGCTCCAAAGAAGGCCCTTGGGGCAAGTTGTATTTTTGGCCAGGGTTAGGGGTTTAGCTCACCCCGGGGCTCCAAGTCACTGCTTCAAAGATTTTCATACTACACCCAAGTGTTACACCCAATGTGTGATAGTAGGGCACGTTGTGGTCTCCAAATATCAGACCTGTTCGGGCCCTACTCCCGGAAACTGGGTACATAGATAATACCTACATAGGGCCTCAAAGTCTACGAATATTCCTTACAGTCTATAAAGAAGACTTACATTGGGCCCCAAAGTGTATGACTATTATGCACGTTCCATAAATAAAACCTACATTGGGCCCAAGAGTCTATAAATGCGACCTACATTCTATGAAGACACGTACAGCGGGTCCCGAAGTCTAGAATTGTTGCCCAAGTTGGCTAATTGGAGCATTTTTACTGTCCTGAATAGGAAGCAGCGTGCCGTAACAGTGTTGTAGAAAAAGTGCGTCCATTACAGCTACCATTTTCGAATACCGTTTCTAGGGGTTTGCGATTCCACTGCCCACCCTCCACTTCATCCCGGAAACTTGTGGTATGGGCGGGGCTTGCAAGCATGATGCACGGCTGATTTGTCTAATTTCGATCAGTGCTTTAGGTTTGAGAGTTTTGGCGTGTCGGGCTTTGAGCGTTTCAGATTGAGCTTGTTGAAGTTGATTTGGGGGTCATATACTAACCCAAAACCTGTATGAGATATTATTACCCTAAACCCAAGTACCTAACTAATTGGGTACTTGGACCCTCTGGGTAAGCTTGAAACCAGGTCCCCACTTTGGTGTGTCTCTTCACAAGTGGACAGGCTCCCTGAAGAATGAAGAGAACTTGACTTGTGCGGGGTGGGGGCGAAGATAGCTTCTTCCCCCGCAACCCCAGTTACCTGCAGCTTAGTGGCTGCGACCCCCTCATTCCCAGAACGTCCAAGTATCCAATAACTAGGTACTTGGGCTTCGGGCAATGTATTTGCAGTACAGGTTTTGGGCAAGTAAATGGTTATTACGTACTTGGACCCTCAAGTATAAGTAGCTATAACCTCCTGAACTGTGGGTAAATGGCGCTGGGGGTCAACCGTGTACAAGTGACAGGGATTGTCAGGGCACACTCATGTGCCCTGAAGGCTTATGAACGAGCCACTCCATGGAACTAAGGGTGTCCACTTGAGGCCCAAAACCTTCGAACGAAACTCGCAAACTAGGCCATCTTCGGAAAACACTATAGATAAAAAAAACGGTCTCTCAGACCCCTCGAGAATGCGCTTTAAATAACCAAAGATAACCAAAGGGTCAACACACGTATCGCTATTCTTCCCCTAAGGGTCCAAGTACCTAATAATACCAAAACCCCAAGTACCCCATTATTGGATACATGGACCCTTAGGGTTCAGTGGCCAGGCTGCGAAGAAGCCAACCTCGGATGCGGCAAATGGCCAGGCTCCGCTGCCTTTCAGAGCCTACCTGGACCCTCCAATGTAATATAGCCCAAACTCCTTACGTAAAGGGGGGGTTGTATAGAGGAGTATTATAGGGGTTATGAAGGTGGATACTAGAAGTTTAGACTATAGCTCAAACGTAGTTCCTTCTCGGCTTTCGTATGGTATTTTGGTTTGTGTCATTACTAGGGCGCCATAGAGGGTACTACGCTGGAGGATCTCGGTACCTTTCAGATGTTATTCGATCCAATAGCTTACACACTCCCCATACATCCCGATATGAACAAAGTTGTCCTTCCTTAATTAGCTAGATAGTCTATGGCTTTGGCCCCTGAGGTAGTTATATGGGAACCCTTTGGGCCTCCAGTATATGCCATGAACCTACATGGGGCTTAGAGCTCAGGATTCGTTTGCGCGTTCGGACCTAGCTGCTAGCTCCGGGGCCCAGCGCTCGTCGTGTGAGGGGTTGCTAGGGATCTAGGGCTGGGGCTTTCGCCAAGTAGTTGACGGCTGATGTACAACATTCCCACAAACTTGTGCTGAAAGTCAAGCAAGGCAAGGGCGCTAAGCTCTTAGTGAGAGGCCTACACACTGACCGTTGCTATGGTCGTAGGATCCTTGTAGAGTCATGATACAGGGCACCTCAAACCGGCCTAAAACACACACAGTGGGCGCCAGAATCTTGGAGCATGCACCTGCCAGGCACCTTGCAGGTGGATGTGAGACTTCTCAGATGTTCCGCTTTTGGTTGGCTGAAAGTTTGGATTTCAAATTGGAAGCTGGGAACTTTGCGACGATTCAACTTGGAACATGCAGTGGTATATACCCGCGAAGAGTGCCTGTGAATCGCGTAAAGTTGATGAGCTTGAAGTTCGAACTTGAACTTACAGCCCTATAGTGTCAAAACGGTAGAAATTCAAGAATTCTGCTGCAACGAGATTGAAAGCTTGCAGCATGAAGCCTCATTCAGAGGGAGGGGGTAGGGAGAGAGTAAGCAGGGAGGCAAAGAGGGAGGGGCAACGAGAAAGGGAGGCAGTTCAAACCTGCAAAACGTAAGGCTTGAAACCTTCGAGTGGAAGGGGCATGGCTGAATGCTCTGGACACACGAACAGGAATATGGTTTGGCTGAGTCACATGGTTGCTCTAAGACAAAAGAAGAAAATTTGAAAATACAGTCTTCATGCTTTCTAACATCAACCCCTGGTTCTGGGATGTGCTGATATGATCCTGACCAAACATTGGCAGCGAAGAAGAACAGAAGCTGCAAGTGAGCTACATGATGATGAGGAGGAGGAAAAGGAACACGGCCCATGTTCGGCTGTTGGAAAACTTCCGTTTTGCATGGCACATTGGCAAATTTTCTTAAAATCTGCGCTTCGGCAGCAGAACCTGCTTGGGCCAGCGTGGGTGATTATGATGCTTGTGGGACAATCGTTGAAATATCGGTTCTGTTCATGATGCATGCGCACGAAACCACAGTTTCGTGCAAATGTTTGCTAACTGCTGTGGACAAATATTACTTTTGAGAACACGCAGTCTGCAGTTTCCAGTTTTCCTTGTTTTTCCTACTACTCCTACGACGACTACTACTCCGACTTATAGGACGACGACGACTACTACTACGATTACTACTGCACTACTAAGGAAGACTGGCTTTGGACTAACTTGAGCCTGTACTTCTGGGCGATCATGATTCGCAGTTAGGCTGATCGCTTAGGGTACGTTGCTTTTCCTTTTTCCTGGCAAGCATCCAGGATGCTTGGGCCGTTTGGAGTTGCTTATATTTGTAGCCTCTGTATTTCTATTAAGCTTGGAGAAATCCGGGCGGTCGTACAGCTAGAGCAAATTGATTCTGAAGGGTTGGGAAAGGCTGGCTTTCGAGGCTTCCATAGGTCTCTGGGCCTTTCATACAGGTAGAACAAATGCCCTTGTGGGAGGCTTGTGTAGGTCTGTGAACCCTTTACGTAGGTAGAACAAATTCGTTTTTTTGGTTTTTGCAGGTATGTGGTATAAACTCCTTTTGAAGGGATTTTGAAGGGTTGGACAGCTTTACGACTCTTCATATAGGTGGAACAATTCTTTTTGAGGGGTTTTGAAAGGTCGGAGAGCTCTACGACCCTACATATAGGTGGAACAGGTTGGAAAGCTCCACGACCCGTCATACAGGTGGAACAAACTTTTTTGAGGGGCTTCGAAGAGTTGGAAAGCTCCAAACTTCTTTTGAGGGGTTTTGAAGGGTTGGAGAGTTGGAACAAACTCCTTCTGAGGGGGTTTTGAAGGGTTGGAGATCTCTACGACCCTTCATATAAGTGGAACATTTTTTTTTGATTGTTTTTTTTGGAAGATGGTGGAAGGGGAGACCTTCTAATGTTAGTGTTTTTTAGATCTCTACAGAAATTCCTAAGTGTCTAGGCCGGAAGCCCTGACAGGAACCCAAGAAGAAACCGCAACGAGTCGTGACTTTGCAAAAATCGCCGGGGACTCAGGGAAGTGCTCCGGAGTTTGAACATTTCCCCAAGAGAACATGTAACCCTAAGCGGAAACTGCCGACAAGAGAGAAGAGCTTTGCGAAGTGGCGACCACGTCGCAGGAGTTCTTCGACACAGAGACACTCAGCATCAAGCAAGTGTACGAGATTGTTGTCAGGTACTGCCCGCAAGCAGTGTATCACGTTCAAGAGTACTGCAAGGAGTCTTGGGAGGTTGCCCTTTGGAGCCGCATGCGAAAGGAGCTTAGTGACCGCGCGGTTCCATGTTACTTTGGTGTAGGGTAGAGGTCCCTGGTCTTGTTTCTTTGGGTTCAGAGTTGTGGGGCTTTCTGCGGCAATTTGTTTTGTTACGGCCTCGTGTTCAGACAAAAGCAGGGTGTGCAGTTGGAAGGGCAATACTTGTAAATCGCCGTTGGGGGTTATCCCAGCTCGAGTTCATGTGTGCAATGCAAAGGTCGTTTCCTTGTTGGCTCCAATTTAGCCCTGACTGTCAGACAAATGCAGTTAGCTGCATGTAGCTGACACGTTATCGATTTGCTCTGGAGTGAGACGGATACCTGGCCAAACTACAATGACCTCGCCTGACCTTACTTTAACTGGCGGCTTATAGAACATAGCTTCAAGATGACATTGTTTCAGGATTTTACCTTGCAATCAGTCCACCAGTAGTACAGCATTCTACAAACAGGTGCAGTTCGAAGTAGTACCTCTATACTGATATCGCGTAGTCTAGGCATCATACACTTCAAAACCCCATGCTTGTTTCACATCGTGCTCAAATAGGATTATTTAATAATCCCTTCCCCTCATTCCTACCCTGACCCCCGTCCCAAAGCCTGATAGGGTGTAGGGGTCTAACGACCCAGTGATAATCTTCACTTGTATGCATGTCATATGATAACTGGCCCCAAGCTCTTTTTCAATTGCAAGAATTTACAGCCCCCACATACGTGGCCTGGTCTGCCCACCAGAGAGCCCATAGACAGTACTCGTAGCCATCCCCTTTTCATCTTGGCTGCCACGTGACTCTCCCTTATCCCTGAGGCTCCAAGTTCCCGATCGGCGAATGCTTGTGATTTCAGGAATACACATTGTAGTACAAGGTTGGGGGAAAGCCAAAACCCTAGACCTTCAACCCTATACCCGCTCATTGTGATACAAACTTGGGAATTTTTTATCACCAGGGGGCTCCTTGGCCTTTAGAATTAGTTTCTTTTCGGCTAAGCCCTGAACAGCTAAACCCCTTGAAGTTGTAAAAGGGACGCTTAAGAATATGTGTGCATATATACCCTGATGACCATAAACTCCAGACTCTCAAAACCCTATTCCCTGAAGCTCTAACCCTAAAAACTAACCGCACAACTAAAATGCTTAAGACTCTAAAGCCTAAAACTCTAAAACCGAAACCCCAAGCCCCAAAACCCTAAACCCCAAACCCTAGACCTGAAACCCCTAAACCCTAAATCTGTGAACCTAAGGCCAGCCAAGGTGGGGCGCTGAGAACATAGGATCTCAGTGCTCGCGGCCGCACGACTTTGCCTAGACCTTAAGATCTAAGGGTTTAGGGATTTAGGGTTTTAGGGTTGAGGGTCTAGGGTTTCAGGGATTTAGGGTTGTTTCAGGGTGTTAGGGATTTGAGGTATTAGGGTTTAGGGCTTTGGGCCATGGGGTTGTAGGGTTTAGGCTTTTAGGGTATAAGCTTGTGTTCTAGGGACCTTAGATCCCTCATTAAAAAGTACATGGAGGATCTAGGTGTGTATGTCCAAATACCTCACAGTGACTACCTAAACTCCAAAAGTATGTAAAATGATAGCTCTAAAGAAATAATCACAGCCACGCATGTCATTATTTTACATACTTTTGGGGTCCGGGTAGTACTATTCCTAGCTGATTCAGCATATGGTGCCCACTTTGCCTCAGGGCAGGGGCGGTGTTTGCAGGTCTTGCGGCAGGAGTGGTGGTTCACTATATTATAGTACATTATAGTATAGTATTAGAGTATATATAGCAGTACATTATAGTATTATGTTATATATTGCGCTGGCATTCTTAGGGGCTTCTTGCAGTTAAAGCGGAATTTGCTTGCATGGACAGCTTCCGATTTTGAACGTGGTGTGGCACGTTTTCCGGGGATCAGTGGATGATCCCCGCTTCCAGCAACTCCGCCGTCGGTATTCAGCGTTCTACACTTCAATTCCTGTGTCTTATACGGTAAACATCCCTGCGGATGTACGCTTGGATGCTGGGACAAGATGTGAAATAGTTTCTAAATAGGGGAACTCCAATATGGACCCCCCCATATACTGTAATTAATGCACATTTTTGGACCCCTAAAAGATACCCTTATTTTTTGGGAAATCCCCGTGTTGACTTGTCAGCGTCTACTTGGTAGCAGCTGCTAGCAAGCTGGAGCTACAACGCAACATCCTAAGCCAAAATCTCCTTCCACGTAAATGCTGCGCTCTGTTTCCAAATCCCTGATAGACCTGCTGGTTGTATGTTGGGGCTTAAAGTCTAGGGTGCAGGGTTTAGGGCAACTAGGGGATGATTATGGAGATCGATCTCCCAACTAGCCCTTGTATGATCCCTCGTGACAAAGTAGTCCCCGTTTTCGTTGGAAATCAATCATTCCCTTCTAACAACCAGTACGTACAGAGCCGTACACCCGACGTACTGCAGGCAAGCGATGGCAAGAAGTGGCACGCCGATGTGGCTGAGTGGGATCAGTCCGACTGAATGATCTTGCGAAACTGTCTTCTCCAGAGGGTGCAAGTACCCAACAATGAATTAGATAATTGGGTTTTGGGAAATAGTAACTAAAGTACAGGTTTTGAGGAAATATGTGATTTTCATTTACTTGGACCCTTAGGCTTCTGCTTTGGCTAAAGCTTTCAGAGGGTGTTTTTGCGGGTTTTTAAACGGGAACTTTGTTCTTTGCATCCCTAAACCCTAAACCTCCATAGTTTAGGGTGAACCCATCAAGGATCGCTTGATTTGGTAAGTTCCCGGCCTACCTTGGGGATAACATGAGGGTTCAGGGTTGCTAGTTGTGAGTAGGATGAAGGCATTAAGAAAGCCAAGGAAGCTATACTGTGCTATTTTGTTCTTGATTTTGGGGCTAATTTCAGGATCCTTCCTAGACTCCCTGCTAACAATATAAGTAGTTAGAGGGTTGTTGGGCTTGGGAACCCACAAAAACTGATTGGAGTTGTTTGATGAATGAGTCCTCATTGCCAAGCCTAGGTGGCTTATGACTCAGGGTAATTGTTTGGGGGGGTTCAGCTAGCGTTCAGGGTTTAGGGCTTCGGATTTAGGAGTTTTGCCCTTGAATCTAGGGTCAAAACCCCGGTTTAGGGTTTAGGGTCCCTAAACCCTAAACCCTAAAGGTCAAAACCCTACTCTTGGTATAGGCTTCAACCTCCCTTCTGCCGCCATTCTTGGAAATTATCATCCCAGGGTTCTGCACCCGAAGGCGCTGTGAGTGGTTAAGGTCAGGGGCCTCCCAGGTTCGGGTTTAGGATCTACACCCTAAACTTTAAAGTTTAGGGTTTAGGGTGTAGGGCTTCAAAACCCTAAACCTTAAACCGCTAAACCCTAAACCCTATACCGGTCTATAGGGTTCAGGGTTTGGAGCCCGGCTGGTGCTGATCAGTTAGGAAAGAGCTAGGTTAATAACCCCTTAAGCCATATTATAACTCAATTATCCCCGGTATTAACCTACTTACTAAGTCCCCATGACCCTCCAGGTAGGACCTCTCCGTCGTCTTCTCTGGCCCAAAAGCTTTAACATGAGACAGTGCGTCAGAGTAACAGGGTTTCTGCACACCATGCTACAAAAAACTGGGAAGGCTCCAGAATATTACCTTGACGACAACTAATGAGAGTAACTTGTACACCTAATGTAATGGGTTGTGTGCCTAGGATTTGGGTATCATTACCTTTTTATGAAGGATTTAGCCCTACACCCTGAACCCCAAACCCTGAACCCCAAACCCCTAAACCCCAAACCTTAAGCGCTCAACCCTAGGTAGTCTCAAACAAGAAAACCTTTTTGCAAATCGACCTGAAGCCTAAACCCTTGCACCCTTAAAGGTTTAGGATTTAGCCCACGTTGCTGTGATTGCATGGCCCCCTAGCCCAGGGCCTTTACAGTCCAAACCCCACAAGCTAAGCCTCCAGGATCCCCTTTTAAAAGCCTGAAGCGCGCCATGGTGGACATCATTGGATGGGCCGAGGCGCATGCGTAGGTAGCCTGTAGCTGATCCCTTCCCCTTGATAATCAAGCCGCCACCTCGTAGCTTTTAGGGATTAGGCTTTAGGGTTTGCTTCAGGATGCCACTACATTTCAAGGGGGGCGGGAGGAAATAAGCTGTGGAATGAGATATTTATCCAGGTCGACGGCATAAGCTCCCACAATTTGGCTATGTGCCAGAAGCAGGACCCTCTTGCTTCATGTAATTCATGCGCATGGAAAAACCATCAGCTGACGGCATAATGTACTTTGAACCTGCTTGAGAAGCCGGGGCAATGCAACAAAACAAAGTGTAACATGACCCTAAACTCTAAACCCCAAGCCCTAAAGCCTCTGATCTCAATGTAATTTCTAAGTTCCCGAAATGGACATGTTTTCTCTCAAGCCTCCTTTTTGAGCTTGACTTGGTGTTCCTAGGGCTTCCAGTTACCTAAATAGTAGGATACGGGGCTATGTAACTATAGGGTATATAACCCTAAACCCTAGAACGCAGTTCCCGTTATTTAGGTCACTGGGAGCCCTAGGGGTTATTGATGGTAGAACAGATATCTTGTGGTGCACCCCTAGAGGTGTAGGGTTTAGGGTATGTGTTCAGGCTTTGGAGTAGAATCAACATGTCATGTGGGGTCGCGGTTGTCCAGATTGTGTGGTTTGAGGGGGGTGGGATCCGCATGCTCTATCGGCCTGATAGACACAGACTCTGTATACGCCTGCAGGAAATTGATCCTTTCAT